TTAATATGCATTAAATCTGTATTCATCCTTACCTATTCATCTGAACATTTCATATTGCTTTTTACCCACTTTTTATTCTATGTTAGTAATACAACATATGTAGTAATTCCATGCTGTCATCCTACACATTCTGGATGCTGCCACCTTTCCTTATAATTTCTAAAGTAATTATTTTTCTTGCAACTTCAAGGTGTATTAAACATCTAATTCCTGGAACTGATTGTTGCAAAGGATTGAGAGAGTTTCTTTCATCCAAATGCATTTGGATTCAACGATATTCAGGACTTCAGTGCTAGATCTAGACCTTGGCAGGAGAGGAGTGGCCAGTCCCAGATTCACCAGAGCTCTCTGATTTTAGACAGGAAATTTTATTCTGGGTCTCACAGTGAAATGCTGGACTTTGCCTCCTAGAGCTACCAAGAAATCATATCACAATCATTCTCCCATCTTTGTGCAGCTGCTTCAATACATGGAAATTTCCTGTGTCAGGCACATAAGCCAAGCTTATGGCAGTCCAGCATAAAAATATCCTTTATCTTTCTCTTTTCTGGTGAGCAAAAGCATTAGCTTTAGATGAGCCTGAAAATACTTGATACTCTTTGAAGATTGACCTGTTCTGTCTATAAGTGAATACATCTTTGAGGGATGGTAAAGTGGAAGGAAGTCCTATTACAAATCCTCTTACAGACAATCATTATTACAGTATCACATAAAAAGGAGAATATAACAGCAGAGCTCTCCTTGGGCATTGCACACTGCATAACTAGAGGCTGAGAGAGCAAGCTTCCCCTAAAGCCTCAGTTATAAAATGATCAAGGTGCAAAAGCAGGAAAATGATGGATTTACACTGCAGCTCAGTGACTGAGGCAATTCCATCCCCACAACAGGCAGTTTAATCACAGAGTTTGATCCTGCCCTGATCTAACCAGGATGGGAAGAGTGGGCCAGCCTGTGTAACTCTGACTGCACCAGCTAAAGGGGGAGCATCAGTCAGGCTGGCTGGCATTGCTATGAAGCTGTGCCCACTCTCCCCTTCAAGGCTCTGCCTCATAGAGCAGCTGGGTTGTTCTCTGCCTGTGCAGCTCCCTCCAGCACTGATGGATTAAGAATCAAACTCCAGGGACTCTCTCCAGCAGTCCTAATCTTTAGGGATTAGGCATGACCACTTTCCTATAGGCATATGAACAATCTTCATCCCTTCTAATCTGCTTCCCACAAGTGCTGAGGAGCCCTGTTGTTAAGGATACGGAATTGTAAGGATGTGGAAGCACCAGCAGAACAAATGCAAAAACATGCAGAGGATTTTACTTCCTCTACATTTCCTAACCAAGCAGTGATCCATACTCACCAATATAAATTATTTGCTGTGCTATGGTGGTAGAAAATGTATCTGCTTTGAACATTTGTGCTGCTATCACTACATACACACACTCTCTCTTAAGAGTTGTTCCAAATCACTTCATAGCAAATAACTGAATTAACTCTATCTATGTGCCAGCAGATAATCTCCAAATAAGCTTCTTCTGAACCGTCTCTCATGTTGCTGGTGAATGCATCCTGCACTAAACAAGATGAACAGTGAAAGGGGAGCACCAATGGAAAACCAATGAGCCCCATCTTCTTTAGAAGCAGCTGAATATGTGAATGTGTACAGACACATGCACACTCTCACATGCACTGCAAGAAACAGTGCCAGTGTTCTGCATAATCCTGTTGTTTAGACATTTATGCTAATTGCACTGATATTATTTAATGGCAGCTTTATACTTTAAATATTTCACTGGATTACCAAAATATGTCCAGCATTGAAATGCATCAGCTATTGGAGCCACAATCAATTTTCTTTTTCAGAGAGGCAGACACTAATTTCTTCTGGTTGTAAAAAAGTTCACAGTGCCTCAGCAGGCCAAAGGTTACCAGGCAAGCACACTGAAGAAGATGACTTAATCAGATAGCACACTTAAAATATAGAAATCAATTTTATAAAGGAGTCGGGTTTTAAATTAATTTTGGATGTAGCTGACCATAACTTAACCTCCTTTCCAGCTATTGCACAAAAAACACTGAGGTTTGGTGCCCATTTCATTTCACCATTACCTTTTCCATACAGAAAAATCTGATGGGATTTTTCTTTACCAGGTTTTCTCACAGAATAACCGGGCATTTTCCCATGTCCCCCGGCCTGCATTCCCTGCACCAAGAGAGACGGAGCACGGACACCCCGCACTCCATTTGCTTGCCCGCTGAAACTCACCCCCTCTGTCCCTGAAGGAGCAGCAATGCAGAAGCCAAGGAGTCGTTCCCACAGCTAAAAGATGATGGAGATCTCGGGGAAAATTAACATAACCATTGGCAATCCCTGAGAGCTCACCAAACAGCAGCTAGGGAAGCATCCTCCCCTCCGGAGAGCGAGGGTGGCAGAGACACCAGCAGATAATGCTCCTACAGACTCTACTGTGCTTTAATCTTCAAAAGCTACCATTAGCAAGCCAGAGAAGTATATTTCCCCACCAGACAAACACCGCAAGTAGCTACTCTCCATTAAGCCCTGAAATAACTCCTCTTTCTTTTCACTTCCTACGGGGAGCGAGGCAGCACCGCGGCTCTCCCGCCGCTGCCCCCGCTCTCTGGGAGGGATGGGGGGACACTCTGGAAAAGGAGCAAGTGTGGCTGGTGCCAGGAGGAGAAGCAGAGGGGGGGTCGGGTCCCGGGCACCCTGATCCCAGCGGCGCACGCTGTTTTCCCCCCGGGAAAGCAGCCGGCTCCGTCCCTCCGGAGTGATGGATGGAGGGAGGTGGGCGTCGCTTTGGGGGCTCCGCTTTGTTGCGTTTCACCTCCTGATCCCTTTCGCTTCTGCTCTGCTGGGCTGCAATAGCCGCCTCGGCTCCAGCCCCGCGGGTCCAGCTCCCCGTGACCTGCCGCGGAGGGGATGAACCGGGGACGGCCCAGGGAAAGGCGAGAGAGCATTATTTATCCACCACAACTTCTCATTGTCGCGGGGCAGCGCTCAAAAGATCCACAAGCTGTTGGCTTTAAATAAAGCAGGCATTGCTTCCCTTGTATTTCCCCTCAGCAGTCGCCTTAGTATTATTATTATACTTCTATAGCTTTTGCTTTCGGACCTTATAATTATGTCACACAGCAAGGGAAACCGCCAGCATCCCAGCATCTGGTGTGCGGTTGCAAACTTTTGTTTTAAGATTTGAACTATTTATAGAAGGAAAACTTTGTAGGATAGTAATTTCCTACGGTTTTGAGAAAAATATGGCTACGCTTATATTAAAAGGGTGTATTTATTTATTTATTACGACTCCTTCCTCCTGTATAAAAAAAAAAAATAATAACCACAAAAAAACTCCCAACCAACCAAAGATAGCACGGCAAGCTTTTTTACAAGCCATCGGTCACCTACGCAGCAGACATTTCCCTCCTGTGAACAGAAACAGGCAGCTCTGGTTGAATCAATCTAACGTGCTTCCATAAATCTAAGCGCTTTTAAAAATCGGTGGCCAAGACATGTGCATTTCATTAAGAATTAAGAATGTAGAAATAGGCTTTTAGTTTCTTTTTATGGGCGTGTTTATTCCTAATTTTCTCCCATAGCAGTGGGATATGTTTTTTTCCACAGCCCACAGAAAACAGACGGACACACACACGGAGGAACACACGTGCTTGTTCATGTGCATGTGCTCCTGTGCGCACATACAGAGGGAAAAAACCCTAAATATATATAAATCCATGTACAGTTTGGGGATAGAACCTCAAAATCGCATCCTTCGGGGCACAAAAAACTGAGGTCGGCTTGAGGGTAGGAGAGTAGGGAAATCCGTCCGGCCCCGGCAACCGAGATAAACGCGGAGCCAGGGATGCCAGGACGGGGCTCCCCATCCCCGAGCGGGGTGCACCCCTGTGCCGCAGCCCCGGCAGCCTGGGCAGGCTCCGAATCCCCCGGGCCCGACCCCCGCGTCCCGGCACTCTGTCCCGGGGCTGGGGGGATGCCCAAGGGAGGGAGGGAGAGAGAAGGCTCCCCGATTTCACAGCGGCTCCCTCCGCCGGGTACCTGCCGCCGCAGCGCCCTCCTCTCCGCGCGGCTCTGCTGCGGAGCGCAGCAGAACAGGAGCCCTTGGCGGGTCCCCGGCAGCCCCTCCGGGCTCCGGCTGCGCTCCCGGACGGGACCCCGGCCCAGCACCCCCGCCACCCAGCCCCGGAGGCACAGAGACCTGCCGGGGACCTGCAGCAGAGCGGCGGCGGACAGTCTCTGCGCAGCCCTCACGGACTAGCCCGGCCGCTTCTTATCCCCCGCAACGATAGATACAGATATAGATATTAAAAAAAAGAGACCGAAATTCCTCGCAGTCCCACCCACCGACTCTCATTTCCCCCACCCCTACCTCCACCCCCTTCCTCACAAGGAAAAAGTCCTGGAGCCAGCTCTAACTGCGGGGCTGGAGATCCCTCCGGAGCGAAAGCAGCCGGCCGGCGAGCAGGGCACGCTCCGCCCGGGCCGGGCGCTCGCCGCCGGCTGCGGCAGCCCCGCGCTCCCCGGGACCTCCGCGCACGAACAGCCTTCCCCCGGCGGGCGCGAAGCGATGCCCATCTCCGGTCTGGCGGGAGGAGGAGTCGGGGTCGGAGTCCCCAGGGGAGACGCCGGCCGCTCCGCGTCCCGTCGCCCCGCCGCCCTCCCAGGTGCGCCGCCCCCGCTGCGGGCACGCCGGGCCCCGGCCTCGCCGGCGGGGCAGCCCCGGGAGTTACCTGGCGGTGCGTCCCTTCCCCCGCCGGGGTCCGACCAGCAGCGCCAGCACCGCCACCGGCGCGGCATCTCCTCCTCCTCCGCCGCCACCGCCACCACGCACCTCACCACCACGCACCGCACGGAGCTGCCGCCCGTGCTGGCTTCTCCCGGCTCCCTCTGCTCGCTCTGCGCATTGCCCCTAGGTAGCTGCTAGCGGGGGCATTGCAAACAGTATTTGGAAAAAAAAAAAAAAATCTGGATCACTTACAGGTAACTCCCACTGGTAAGGATGAGGAAAATCTGAGGGTAATACACTGAGAGTAACACACTGCGAGATGAAAAAAGGATCATGGCTGAATCCCGTTTACACTCTTGAGTTCGCTTCCTTGGTTATTCCTTTCTGGCCCCCCCTGGTCGTAATTCCCCACCCTTTTTGGTGTCAGCTGTGGCTTGAATCTGAGTTGGAATCCAGTCCCTTGGGCTTGGGGGGGCTTTGTCTGTTTGTTTGTTTGTTTGTTTGTATTGTTGTGTGTAGTATTCCCCTGGCGCTAATGCTGCTCCCTGTGCAGAGTGTGTGCTGCTGCTGCTGCTGCTCTCGCTGCTGCTGCTGCCTCTGGGCTCCTGCCTGTCATGTCTCAGTGGTTGGAAGTTGTTACAGTGGGTTCTCGTGTTGGAATGAGGATGGTTTAAGGGATTTGGATGGCAGAAAGTGCCTCTCTCTCTCTCTCTCCCTCTCTCTCTGTAACTCTCCTGAGGCCCGGGGCTGCCATTGGGCAGTCAGTCACTGCAATCCGCCTACTTTTTTCTCTCCCTCTCCCTTTTTTTTTTTTTTTTTTTTTTTTTTTTTCCTAGGGGGAGGATGACAATGGAAAGACACTGATCTAGCCGGGGCTGCAATGAATCCGTGCTCCCTGGCTGAGCCCTCTCCGTACGCCTCGCCCGACAAGGGCTCATTTCTCGCTCCGTGGGGCATTTTTAACTCCCCCCTACCAGCTCTCTGTGGGCTGAGAGCTCCCTGCTTCTGCCGTGGCACCCTTAGCTCGCCCTGGGAGAGGCTGAACGAGCTTGCAGCTTCCAGCCCCACTCTCGGCTAATTGCTTTATTGCTGTCCCGGTTCCACCGAAGGGTTCCGCCTTCCCTCCAGCCTCGGCGGAAGGCGTTTGGCTCTTGTCGTCCCTCCGATGTTAAAAATTAGGCTTCGATTTCAGGAGCAAAGTCAAGGAAAAAGGGAACATATATGTAGTCATAGCCTGGCTGAGTGAGAAATAAAGACATGCACACTCGCAGCTCCCTGGCGAGATTGGGTTTCGGGAAAGGACCAGCGCGGAGCAGCCGCTGTAGGGAGCGAGCGGGGGGCGGCTGCCGGCGGCTCCCGGCTCCCCACACCTCTCGCCACCCCCGCAGGAAGAGCTTTCCTCCTCTCCGCTCTTCCCTCTGCTTCTCTCGTTTCCGAGAAGATGCGAGCCCGGAGAGGCGTTTCCCGGCAGGTTTGTCGCCTCTCCCCCGCCTACCCCCTGAGCCGAGCGATTCCTGCCCCTTGGCACCGCCGCAAAGAGATGCTCGACCCTTCCCGCTCCGGCGGGCCCGAGTCCTGAGCCCTGAGCAGCCCCGGGCGTGCAGGAGACATCGCTCTTCCTCTGCATTGTTGGGCGTCTGTCCTTGATTTCGGATGTGCTGACAGCGATGGTGAAATACGTGCGCTGCGGATAGCGGGGCTGGGCGTTGAAAACGAGCCCCGAAAAATAAACGCCCACCGAAGACACTTGAACTGAAATGCAGCTGAAACGAACAAGAACCAGGCTCCGAAGTGACCTCGGTCTGTAAATGTTCGTCTCAGGTTAATTGGCTATTGGCCGAAGGAGATGTCCTGGCGTTACCGAACGCCCTGGTAACACCTCCTCCAGTTAACCAGTGCCAGAACATGGGTGCAGCTGTCCCAGCGACACAACGAAATAAGCCCTCAGATGGACTGGGAAGGGCAGAACTGGTGCAAAAACGTTGTATGCCGCTCAATATGCGATAAAAATCTTCTCGGGGTTTGGTTGCTTTAAGCACTTTCATCTGCAAGCTCAGCACAGACGTTGGGGCAGTCAATGTCCCTTCCAGAAGCGCTGATCTCGATTATCAAGAGATAGAAGCTTAATCCTTTCAACGATTATTTACATCACAGAACCGTCTTATTTATAATTATTTCAGATTCTAAAATGGACGTATTTACACTTCTCTAAGTGTGCATACAAGTCTATATATAGAGTTAGAGATGTATATCTCCTCAGTGCCCTTTTCCCTACTAGACATGCGGCTGGGGCAACTCTGCTGAGCGTGAAGCCAGGAGAACGAGAAGCCACTTGGAATGTTTTATTTCTAGCACTTGTCCCGCCTCGGATAGGCGTTTTAAATGTGCGTCTGCTTTTAAAGATGTGTCTGGGGGGGAAAGGAGGGGGACAGCGAACTGTAAAAATGCAAATAAAAGTTGGCACTGGAAAACTTCGGATTCGTGCTGGCAAAGTTTGACCCGCTCCACCTGAAACGAAGACGGTTTGCCAATTTCCATCATTTTCAGGTCGAAGCTGACTTTATCCACAGATGCGCTGTGTAGAGGAAGAAAAGTCGTATAAAGAAATCAAACCGTGCAGTTTTCTTTTCGGGGAGTTAATTTTTATTCTAAAACCACGGGCCGGTTATTATAGCGAAAAATTATTGATGCTGAATGATGATGATGAGGAGGAGGATGAAGTTTATGACAATGATGATGAGAATAACGTTGCAAATTCCATCCAAATGGTTTCTATACATATATCAGCGAGAACCACACTCATTTTTTTGATTGAAGACGGAAACATTCCCTTCAATCAAACGTCACACTGGAAAGCAGGTATTGTCGGCAACGTCTTAGACGGGCACTTCAGCATCTGTCGCTCCTTTTCCCACAAACAGCTGTGTTTTGGACAAAATGGGGCAGAATTACACTGAAATAGTTGCCGACACTATAGTCGGGCGGGCACTAATAAAGTATTTGCTTTATTGTTGTTGTTCTTTAATCCCCTATTATCTATCTATTCCCAGCCGCGGATCCTTTTTTACCCCAAGCCTGGGGAGCGCCCGGCAGAAGGGCACGTCGGAAGCCGGGAAGATGCGCCAGATGAAGAACACAACGGATCCTTTGTGTGCGGAACCGGGCGTTTGTTGTATCTCATCAAGCACAGTGTCGGGAGAAATAAGGCAACAACGAGTCCCAGAGTGAGCGGTGTCGGGGCGATGGGAGAGCAGGGAAGGGGGTGGCGGCAGCACAACGACACCTGTCCATGGAGGGGCCGGGGAGCGATGTTCCCTCCTGCGGGACGGCGCCAGGCAGCAGCGCTCCGGGCGGGAATCCCGGGGTCTCCTGCCGGGGCCTCGCCGCCGCTGCCGGCGCTCCACGTGCTGCCGCCGTCGAGGCTGAGCTCCGGTCAATGCCTGCCCAGGGCCGGGGGGACAGGGCCGGCCCAGGCGGGCTCCCCGCGGCCGGACAGCCCCGCGGATGCCGAGGGCAGCAGGATTTCGTTGGCCTTTACCGCAAAGGTCGCAAAGGCAAGGCGAATTTCCCCGTGGGGGAGGCGAGCGGGACCGGCTCTCAAGCTCCCCGCCGCAGCATCCCTGGGAGCCCCGGGAAGCGGAGCGCTCCGGCCTGCCTAGAACCCCTTCCCAGAACGGGCCGTGGTCCCCGATGTCCGCATCCCTGCGCGCCCGAGGCTCGGATGGGCACGAAAGAAGCGTCCCTGCCGCCCCTCAAAGGGATGCCGACACCTTTCGCTGCTCCCTTGGGCAGCGCCAGCTCCCGCCGCCAGCATCCCTCTCATGTCATAGTGACCATCTCTCCGCTGGAAAACGGGGATCTTCCCCGCTCCCTTTGGAGCTGCCCGGCTGTCACCTTTCTTTTCCTCCAGAATAAAGAGGAAAAGGGTGGGGATTGTCCCCATATCTCTGATCTGGGTATTGCCAACGACTTCATCTTTCCAAAAGACGCATCACTCATACCCAGAGCTTCCGCTGTTAATTGCATCTGTAGCACTGTAAATTTTTACTGCTGTAATTTTTAATTTCTGACGTGTTTAATAATTAAAACGGTATCTTAATTAAGCGGTATCCGAATGCTCTGTGATCCTGGCAGGAAATATTTCTGTTTCAATCCTGCCTGAGGTCAATGTTTGATGTGACCTGCTGTCGCGGGGGTTACATGAAGTCAGCAAGGCTGCAGATACTTAATGGTTCAGTGCCTGGAAACGTCATCGACAGAAATATTAAGGGATGTTTCACCTCTCCCCTGTTTCTCCAGCAATCTGGGGGACCGGAAATAGAAACGGGAACGACGGAAGATCCCCTAGAGGAAGGACTGCTTGAGTGGGACCTGCTCTCTCCTCCTGACTGGAGGAGATAGTGGCTTCTTTATGGGATCCTGCCATGTAACACCCCGGCCCGTCCAACAGTTTATGTACTGCGTTAGTTTCTCTCCCCTCGGTGTCATGTTTGCCACCGAAAGTGGAGCTTTTAGCACGTTTTATTAAGATGCGAAGACGAGCTCAGCAGCAAAAAAAAAAAAAAAGAAAAAAAAAAAGAAAAAAGAAAAGAAAAAAAACCACCCAAAAACCTGCCAAGACTCCCGTGGTTGACACGACGGCTCTCTCCTCCTTCCCGCTGAAAATCGACAGAATGCCCTGGAAGACATTTTATCCACCTTCAGCTCCCCCTTCTCAAAGCAAAGAGCTCACCAGAAAAGGCATCATTACACCCAAAGGATATGGTTTCAACAAAATGGTAGTTCCAGTGGCTGATGAAAGAGGAAATAATTGCATCCCACATGCCTAGCCTAGAAGTAGCCCTGGATCTCAGAGCAAATTTCTCTGCTATTGTTCGGAGAAAGTGAAGTATCCTCATCGCCTTACAGGCATGGTGATGGATCTGATAGGGTTTCCGCAAAGGCTTTTACTGTTCCTGATGTCCGCTCAGTTTCACTTCCAGGCTCAGTGCGACAGCATTCTTGTGATTTTTGCTCTGAATCCCCATCTAAAACAGCCAAAACAATTTCGAAGAGAGATCTGCCTTTCAGACTGCCCAATCCCCTGTTCCCTTCGGCCGCAGCGAAAGCAATAGCTGCACCATTGCCCTCATTTTGCAAAGCGTTTTCTTATTGAACTCGCCTGTCTCTCTGTAAGGGGTGTGCTCTACAAAGTCCTCATGCTATTGAAGTAGATTGGGTACCCTGTCATCGCTTCATTTATGGATACACAGCCTCAACAAATTCACCACACATCCCCACTCCCGGCAATCCGAGCCTAGAGGGGGACAGAGCCGACATCGCTGCGACAAAGGGC